GAATACTATGCAGCGCTGCTCCGCGATCCCTCAATCACTTACCTTGTTCTGCGCTCCCGCGATGTCCCTCCTGCAGTGTCCCTGGCAATGTAATCTGGCGGATGCTGGCATCTGTCTTCTGGGTTCCGTCCCCTGCGAGCGTCGGGACGTACTGGGGAACGGAACGGCAGGTAATTTGAAAATGACAAAAAGTGACATTCACTAAATTCACTAAAATCACATAGTAAAACATTACTGTATCAAACCATTTCACATACATTTTGTGCCGAGTGCTTTGTCCTGTGCCCTGCCTGCATTTTTACTGTTCTTTCTGCCTGGAAACTGAGAAAAGTCCATGGCGTCCAAAAAAGTCCCTTTAGGTCAAAAGCGGTTTTAGACCAGCTAGAGAACAGCGATAGTAAATCAGAACCACTTGCAGAATTGAGTGATAATGACTCGTTGGGAAATTCGTCATCAGACACTGAAAATGATTTTGCGACTTTGCTTAGTGATGTGCGAACTTGACGCTATATTTCAAATTTCAGTGTTTTTGGTTTGATTATATTATTGAATTAAATTTATTATTATTATATTATTATTTTTATTGTGTATTTATTAAATTATAATTTATGATTTTGTGTTTCAAATTTTATCCTACCCGGGATGTTTACTAGACTCTTGTTCAGACAGATTTCAGTGAGTTAATCCTAAAAATTACAGGCCTACAATAAAAAAAAAACATATTTCCATGCAAAAAAATGGTACCGGTTTCAGCACCAAAAATCTGAAATAATCATACCGCCAGGGAGGTTAAGGGGAACCCCATGCCAAACTTTTTTAAAAATGGCATGGAGTACCCCCCAGATCCATACCAGACCTAAATATCTTAGGATTCTGAGGGGACCTGCACACCATTTTTTTTTTTGGTGTGGGGTTCCCAAAAAATTCCCCCAAACCTAAGGGCCTTTATTTTTTCATTTTGGTGTGGGGTTTTCCTTAAAATCCATACCAGACCAAACGGCCTTGTATATATGGGGAGGGGCTGGCATGTTTTGTTTTAATTCAGCTGTCAGTGGGACACCCACTGACAGCTGATGAGTTATCCATTGTTAAGGACACTGCGGCTGGCTTCCTTAACAACCAGCTAATGTGCGATAAAATTATCGCGTAAAAATATTACCGCAATACAGATATTTTACTGCGAGAGTCATTTACCGCAAAATTCTTAGTGAATTGCACATTTGCAAAAAATTTACCACGTGCGTTATTTTGCTGCAATTTTTCAGTTGTTATTTAACTCCTAATGAATTGAACCCAATGTATTCTGTTGTTATATATGCATTATATTATTGTATTTATAGATGCTGCATGTTATTATTGGCAAAATTACAAAGGTCCCAATTAAATTTAACACAGCAAGATTACATTTTACAACCCAGACAGTTTAATATAAAATTACTAAATTACATTTACATTTGAATTTACATCTAAAAGAAAAGTAGTAAGATAATATGGCTATCAATGTTGATCTCTGTTTATCAAAATGCCAGTTGTATATCTGTCACATTGATCCAATGGGTTTAATACTTTCTAAGTCACTGACGTGAAAAAAGTTTGCAGATCAGGTGTACTGACTTTGTGGGATTTTTTAACCTGCTTGTTTGTTCAAGGTCAGTGACGAAAGTAAAAAATCCAGAGACAGCCAGGCAACTGGTCATCCTACAGGGATGACCTTTCACTCAGCTCTGGATTGGGCAAAGTGCAGGTTTTCTTTAAAAATTAGCAAAATCCTACGCAGCAGTTAAATGACAATACTAAGGCTGCTGCTAGCAGTGAACCACAAATAAATGTGTATCAATAAAAAACCCAAAATGTGCTGCGCTGCCTTGCTGTTATAAAATGAGTCTAAAGCTGTTACTTTTAGAGGGTAGTGAAATGCTACAATATACCTCCCTATACAATATGTGATTTGTTGTGTAACTCTTCCAATTGTGCATATGTAATCAATGATAAAATAAATATTATTGATGTGTCTGTGTGAATGCAATTGTGTACTATAATACCCCCCCCAAACAAAAAGGGGGTATACCTCTAGTGAAGTTATTGAGTGATTGTTACATGCAAATTCCCTTAAACCATAAGATAATTATAAGAATGATTGTAGAAATAGAATAAATGATATGGGACTACAATGCACCTCCCCCTGGCCTGGATGCACACTTAGTGCACAGTGTGGTGAACAATTATGTGCTAGCCTGCTAGTGCAAACGATCTAGTATGTAATGAAACCATAAAAACTTAAAACAATTCATATAAGTGAAGTCCAGGTGCTATAAGACACCTTCCACATCTAAATTCAACCTAGTGCACAGTGTAGTGGACACGTATGTGCTATCCTGCTGGTGCACACATCTTATGACTACTGAAACTGTAACAAATCACATAAACAAAACAGTTCATATAAATAAAGTCCAAGTTCTATAGGACACCTTCCACATCCAAAAATTCAACATGATATAGTGACAATATGGTGGTCTTGCCGGCAAACAACGGTGATAGGTTCTCCACTCGTGCTCCTTCTCCAGAGCCCCACTCACCACAAGATATTGACCACCTGTGTGAAGGTAGGTCAATAGGTAGTTCAATGTTACTATGGTAACATTGTATTGGTTTGTAAAAAAAAAAGAAAAAATAATGTAGTAAAAAATAAAAAAAATAGAAAAATTTGAAAAAAAAAACAATAAAAATTAAAATATAATTATTATTTTAATTTTTTTACATACTGTCACCAGTCAGTGTCCCTAATCAACACCAAACCAGTTATATAATACCGCTGTACTAGACTGGTGACAATATGTAAAAAAAAAAATTTAGATTTTTTTTTTTTTAATTTCTACATTTTTCCAAAAAATTGTAACAAAAAATTGCAACCTCCAAAAAACTCATCATACCTCTTACTAAATACCTGGAACTGTCTATTTTCCAAATATGGGTGTTACTATCCTGGCGTTTTCGGGCCTCAAGAAATGAGATGGGCTGTCAGTACATCAGGATTGATTGATTGATTGTCAGATATATATATATAACTTGGTTTGTGGACTCTATAACTTTCATACAGACTAAATAATATACACTAATTTGGGGTATTTTCGCCAAAGAAATATAACAGAATACATTTTGACCTAAATATATGAAGAAGTGTTATTTATTTGCAAAATTTTATAATAGAAACGAAGAAAAATGCATTTTTGTTCAAAAGTTTAATGTATTTTTTGTTTTATTTAAAAAAAAACTCAGTGGTGATTAAATACAACCAAAAGAAAGCTCTATTTGCGGGAACAAAATGATACAAATTTAATATGGGTACAATGTTGCATGACCACACAATTGTCATTCAAAGTACGACAGCACTGAAAGCTGAAAATTGGCCTTGGCAGGAAAGGGGGTAAAAGTGTCCGATATTGAAGTGGTTAAGTATCCTGGCTTGGGTTACATATTTACCACACCCTCAGCCACAGCACTACAAACTACCACTTTAGATACCACAAATTATACATCTGGTTACTTCATTATTTACTAACGTCTCTTCTCTTTCAAGTTATATTACAGAGATTTTTAGGAAATCACTCTCTTACAGTATATAAAGGCAGAAAGAAAGGAAATCCCAGTTAAGAGTAATCTTATGGGTTCTGCTATAGAATATAAGTTGATTTCCTCCCCATAGGTATTGCCTTTCACAGATACAACTTCTAATTTTTATACCATCTCATGTTCAATTCTCTGGCTTGTTCATTCCTGTCAGAATGATTTAACAAAAAACATCAACCTTTAGCTCAGTCCACAGACAGTGTTTGATGTTTTGTGTGCTGTGCATGCCACGGATGTATTAGTGAGACATTTTACATAACTTTCAGACAGTGCTGATTATTCCCAGCACAATCATAGTAAAAGAGAAATCAACAATTTACCTTCAATTTAAACATAGATATATGTCATTCACACAGCAAACAATGGTTTCTTTTCCTAGATGCAGCATGAATCTTACAGTCAGTAAAACAGTTAAATGTACTTTTTCGTCCCCCTTTTCATTCTGGTCATGTGAAGCCTTCTGAATTTATATTTCAGGGGATTATTGAAAACACATTTGCAAAGAAAAGAACCCAAACTGTACTGTACATTCTAGAAAATGTATGCATCTGCTTGTATCAAGCTTCCAAAACACGGCGGCTATTGTTCATCAATCACATGTATTTTGTTTCCAATAAAATTAAATATAACTCTTTACATATCAACTCATGCCCTGCCCTGAATTCAAATTGGGACACTTCATTCATCATTCTGAGATGTACTTTACACAAAAGAAATCATTCTTTTATTCATTCTACTATCAAAAAAATATGAGTTGATAAAAGATTTAAAGATATACTTTATACTTTAACCACTTCCAGACCAGACACTTTTACCCCCTTCCTGACCAGGGCAATTTTCAGCGCTATCACACTTTGAATGACAATTGCACGGTCATGCAACACTGTACCCATATGAATTTTTTACCACTTTTTTTAAATAGATAAAGCTTTATTTTGGTGGTATTTATTCACCGCTGGGATTTTTATTTTTTTTGCTATGTAAATGAAAAAGTCAAACAATTTTGAAAAAAGTGTTTTTTTTTATACAATTTTGCAAATAAATAATATTTCATCATAAATCTTGGCCAAAATGTAATCTGTTATCTTTTTAGTAAAAAAAAAAATCCAAATTAGTTTATAACCAAAAATTACAATTTTTGAAATTTTTTTTACATTTTTATTTTATTTTTTTATATTATTATTTTTTATTTGTATTTTTTTTTTTTACATACTGTCACCCTAGCAGTACAGTGTCACTATGGTGACACTGTACTACTTGTGGGGGGTGATGAAGATTTTTTTTTTTTTATACTGATTGCTTTTACACCCATATAGGATGTAAAAGCAATCATTTCTCTTTCTCTCTGTCTGCATTCTTGCAGTCATTGAGAAGTACTGAGTGAGCTGTGATTGGTCACAGCTTGTCACATGGTACAAGGCTGTTGTGAATAGCCTTGTACCATGTGACCTCTGTGATCATTCACAGATTTCACATGTAGTGAGCAATGATGTCACAAGTGACATCTTGCTTACTACTTTGCATGTGATCACTGATTGGCCAAGCAGTGATCACATGATCAGGACCTCGTACAGAGGAGGACACAGCGGGCACCGGATCGCGGTGCTGCGCGATCCCAGGCAGCGCGCACAAGCAGGGTGTGGGGAGGCCGTTTATAGACGGCCACCCAACCCTGCACTGCCACCGTCCGGCTGTTTATATACAATGGCCGGTCGGGAAGTGGTTAAATCATGCATTCTCTAACTCGGTGTTTCCCAACATTTTTCTGTCAAGACACCCTTTAAAATTACGCACAATCTTAAGGCACCCCTTCTAAAATGTAAAAACTCTACTAATAGTTTTACATAATGCAGCAACATTCACACACATAGGACACCCAGCGTTAGAGGTTGCAAAGCAAACAGGCCTTTGCATGTTGGTACTGACTAGTATTCCGATGTTTCTTGTCTCCTTCGGTTTCTCTTCCTTACTCAGCTAATGTGACTCCAGTGCTAATGGAGAGGGATGCTGTGCCTGATGTCCTCCTTATCAACCAATGATTTCAATGGTTGTTAGGATACCAACGGCTAGAAGGTTGTCATGGTGCACAAAGAAAACCTGTGGCTTTGTGTAATTAAAAGGAAGGCTTGATCCACCTGCTGGTTAATATACACATTTTGAGCAATGTTTAGGCATTTTGCCAAGGCACCTGGCCTGAGGGCACCCCAGAGTGCCTGGGAACCCTGGTTGAAAAAGGCTGCTCTAACTTTTTCAGTCAGACCTGACCTACCAAAACCGAATGACCCCCCCCCCCCCCAGGCTTCAGGAAATTTGAGCAGGCAAATGCGTTTATATATCCTGATTGATTTAAATATACCCATATGTATATTGCAGCAGTAAAAAAGAAATGAGGCATAGCACAGAAATGTAGTTGATGCAACAGTGGAGATCTATATCCATATCATGATGTGGAAAGATTCAGTGCATGTATTGGTACAAAAAGTAATGAGACAATGTGACGGGAGTCACTTTGGGTTGGGGGGGGCCCATGGAACCCAGCTTACTTTGGAGAGGTGGGGAGACCCCTGTCTCAGCTCCCAATATCCCTATTATGTGTAAATCACCCTGTGCCTGTTAGCGTCTGTCTGTCCTTATATTGTGTAGACATGTATAGGTGGAATGGGGGTTGTGGATTGTTTGGTGTTGTGGGGCTGCATCCCATTGTTCTGTTGTTTGTCTGGTTTGCCAGAAAACTATTATGGGATTTGTGTGTTTATGTGTATTAGCTTAGTGGGGGGGGGGTGTCTCCAGCAGCCCTCCCTTCTGATGGGACTGCCTGCTGGTGTGAAGTTTGAATACCTGTGTGTCTCTTGTTACTAAATGTAGATTGCCCCGCCCTGTGTCATTATTCAGGGAGGGCGCATTGTCCCCTGAGTGTACATATCTTGTATCTGTGTTCAAATAACCGCCTGGCAGTACTAGGGTCCTTGGTTCGAATCCCAGCCATGGCACCTCCTGCCTGGAGTTTGCATGTTCTCCCTCTGCCTGCGTGGGTTTCCTCCTGGTACTCCAGTTTCCTCCCACACTCCAAAGACATGCTGGTAGGTTAATTGGTTCCTGTCTAAATTGTGCCTAGTATGTATATGTATGAATGTAGGTTAGAGACCTTAGATTGTACACCTCTTGAGGGTTAGGGACTGATGTGAATGTACAATATATATTTAAAGTGCTGTGTAAATTGACAGTGCTATATAAGTACCTAAAATAAATAAATAAAGTGGTCTACCTTCTGGTTTACTTCAAGACTGGTGTCGTCTGGATCTTGGGGTAACAACAGCCAGAATCACTAGTCTCGTGTTCCAGAGCCTGAGAAGCAGCTTCTTGACGGAGATACCCAGTCGTGGGTGTCTGGGATCCGTTACAGACACAGTATAGGAAAGCTTGAAATGGTCACAAAACATACATATTTTTCCCATGCAACAAAATTCATGTTATCATGTGTATGTGAGAATATTGCCACAGTGGACAGAACTGCTGACTGAGATTGGCACTCATCATCTCAACTACACATAATGATCCCTCAGAAAACTGGTTTTCATTGATGACTATTGGAAAAGTGTGCTGTGGTTAGAAGGATGGATTGCTTGGTATAATTCTGAATTATGTGGCAATAAAATGGATAAATAAGCTGAAAAAATAGTTCTATAGGGTTATATGTAGACTCGTAATACTTGAACTTATGGTATCGTTATGCTTCAGAATTGTATTATAATATGGGATGTTCGATTGCATCTTTTAATATTTTGGATTTTATTACTTTTATCTACCAGCTAATTGATTGAGCTAGCCAGCAAATTTAAATAGACTGGCTGCAGATCACATGGAAGGACCTAGTTTAGGGGTTGTCTGGATGGATTAAAAAAACAGTTGGATATTTGTTCATACTGTTCCATTTTTGTACCCATTTTAGAGAATTGAATTCAAGGATTTAATGTTTAGAGATATCCATTTCTATGAGATATAGAGATTCCTCTGAGATTTAGAGATATCCTTTCTATGTTCTTTATAAAGGGGCAGATGTGTGCTTGCTATCACCAGCTGACAATTGACCATTTGCTTACGTTTACTATCATCAAAGGTGAACTTCTTTTTAATATGAGAAATAAATATAGAAACCTTTGTTCTGTGTTTGAGATTTCTGACCACAAGCACATAAGACAATGTAAACACCTGGGGGAAGTTCCCTAATATGTATCATAAAACATTTAATCCAAGTGGATCAAGAGGAGATTAGATAAATTGACATACAATATTGAGGTGTTTTTATGTAAACATACATAAAATGCATGTTTTTTTTTCCTTTTAGGCTCTTCCAACTCTTTTTTCCTTTATTATGGCTGCTATGCAAAGGTGAGGTCATTTTATTAAGAGAAACGTATGGTGAAATCCGAACACCCAATTTTCCAGATTTGTATCCAAGTGATTCAGAGGTGACGTGGAATATAACTGTGCCTGAGGGATTCAGAATCAGGCTGTACTTCATTCACTTTGACCTGGAACCATCTTACCTCTGTGAATATGACTATGCTAAGGTAAAGATAACATTGAAAATAATTGTAAAAGTTTTCTTTCAAGGTTAGTATATTAATACATATAAATATGTAAATACTATAGGCCTATTATGATCTTGGAATTACCACAAAGCCTAGATCAGAATGGGCCCTTGTGTATACTTTAATAGTAGTGACATTACTATAGTACCAGTTTACAGCTCATTGCTGAGTACTGATGGTGTTGCCTTGTTATCACTGTGCTCTGCTGTTACTGCTTATGCCTGAATATAGTGACACTAATGACATATTAATGAATAATGGCTAATTTGTATGATATTTGCCTGTGTTTTTTCTAAATTGGAAATGTTGCAATTTCACCCTATTTTACCAAGCTCTGGGGAAAATTATTTTGCAAAGCGCAACATCCTTTGCAAATTGAACTAATTGCCTTTAGTAAATCAACCCATATGTTATGGGAGGACTAATGTTTAAATGCTTTTGAAAGATCCTAAGTTTTTTGCATGGAATGAATGGAGATCTCCCTGCATAAGGAATTATAGGTTCAAAATGTCTTCAACATTTGTGAATCTTTCATTCAAACCTTGCTCGTAGAAACTCAACAGTCTATAATGCAATTCTTTCAACATACTCAATGGTATCTACTCAGACTCCTGGCCAGTGATCCTCCAATTGACATTCCACGCCTATCTTAAATTGAATTACACGTGTTAATCTAAACATTGAGGCCTCTTCATCTTTCCTTTGCTTTCTATTTACTAATCTGACTGTCATCCATTCAAATATTCCTTAATATACACCACTAGGCCAAGCTCTGCTAGGTCTCGCTCAACTTATACTAACATATTGTATATTGGCTTTCTTGATTTAACTTGTTGGCCAAATGTTGTGGCCATTGTTCTTCTTAATTGCATTCTCACAATAAAATGCAATGTAAAAAAAATGCTTTTGAAAGATTGCATTATATATGACATTTTTATTTTGCCCATAGTTAAACTTTAATGGTGTCAAAAAGGAACCATTGGAAGGATCAGTTTACTTTATGTATGAATGATTTAAACCTATGAAATTATATCAAAAAGTGTCTGTTTCAGTGTCTTATTCCAGTAATTGCTTTATCCCAAAGTCCATATCAGTGTTTTGCTTCAGGTATATACAACTGTGAGCAAGGTCGGGAATGCCTATTTCAACCTTGCATGTTACGGTAGCTTGGTTGAGAATCTTATCAATTGCAGGCTTCATTCCAGAGTATGTGAAACAGAGAAATGTCCTCTGCCCTAGAATAAACATAGTGGTCTCTGGTTGAGTTAATATTTGCTGTTTCCTGTCCTGTCTCATCACACTGGCTGAGGGTTGTGCCCAGAGAGGTTGCTGCTAATTAAATGTTTTTCTTGGACCTAGATAATGATGTAAACATTTTCACATGATTGACAGCTGTGTCATTCTTGCTGTGGGAGATTTTCCTTGCCAGCAACCTGAGGATTAAACAGCATATGGAACAAAGAAACAAGATGGGGGAGGGTGACAGACTCATGCTTCATTCAAATACATTTCTGTGATCACTTAAATTTCAGTATTATTTAATTGCCTTAAAATGCGTTGTAATTCCCCATACTTTTAATTTAACTTATTACTGTAGAAATGTATGATGGCAATACTTGTATTTTTTTAGCAATGATTTTCTTACATCCGCAACCAATGTCAGCAAATCATACCATGCTCCCTGTTTGTTGGAGTAAGGGACTTTGTGAATTGCTCCCTGCTGATTTGTCACAATACTCTAGACTGCTGTCTGTCTGATTGAAGACTCTTATTGTTGGTTCTCTTTTTCTTCCTATACTCTCACAGCTTGCATAACCCTTGCCCTTATAACAGGAGTTTGGCTTCAGTAGATCAAGTGGGGCTGTACAATATATGTGAGACCAAGCTCCCAACTCAATATCAGCCCATGTCCTTTGTATTACTCACTCTTTGCATGCACCCTACTGAGAGGTCTGTAAATCTTTCTTTTGTTAAATTGATGGATACTACCTTTAGTGGCTAGGCATTTGACTAGTGTGCAGAACTTGTAGAATGCCCTTCAGTGTAAACCAATTCCCTAATTTATGTGAACATTTTGTTTCGCTGATCCACACAATGTGAAATGAAAGTGTGAGGCTCGATATATATTTGCTTCTTGACACCTATAGCAGAAATTCTTGACCAGTGATATCTTCTTCCAAATACATCATATGTAAAACACTGTTCTACATATAGCACTATCCTTTTACAAGTAAAATCCCCACCAAGTCACTATCACAATCCTTCCCCTGAAGTACAAATATCATCAAATAAATCTTACAGTAGACTTGATTTACCCTCTAATAAATATTAGTGTATACAAATAAAATCCAAAACCAACAAAACCAAAAAAAAACATCAAAACCCAAAGTCCAAAATAAAGTCCCAAAACAATATATTAATTTCAAGAAAAAATCTTTATCTGTAAAATCTTAATTCTTCATATCTTCAAACATCTTTGTGATATACTTAAAACCAAATCTTCATATACCTCAAAAAAAAAAAAAACTCAACATGTGTATTATCTTCAAAAAGAGGGGTATATAAGACGTGCCACACGTGTTTCATGCACACAAAAAATTGACGTGCCACCACAACCGTGAAGAGAAATCCCTCAGCCGCGGGGCACGTGACGTGGTGACGTAGTGACGCTCTTCCGGAAGTGCGTTGACGGCCATTTTTGATCCTGGTACATGCGGTTGTGGCTTCCTGGAATCCTCATGGGGTTTTGAGGTATTGGGTACCTACCACAGGCGATCTGTTCCCCCTCGGGAGTGGGATGGTGTGGATACCTACACACTTGTGAGGAGAGGCAGGATTGTGAACAAATCGTTTTTGGTGTGGAAGCTGATGTCATCTTATTTGAATGTAAGTTGCTACAATAAAGTGCTATAAGCTTTTATGATACATATTGATCCCTGGTCTGTTTATGAGGTCTGTGGGAAGTGGCTGGAAAGGCTGAAGGAATATTAAAAGGTTGGAAAGAAGTATTCAGACCCTTGATACCATTCTGAGGGTAACTATGCACTTCCTCTATTGGTATGCAGTGGATTGGTTCCTAAGGCTGAGGGATTTCTCTTCACGGTTGTGGTGGCACGTCAATTTTTTGTGTGCATGAAACACGTGTGGCACGTCTTATATACCCCTCTTTTTGAAGATAATACACATGTTGAGTTTTTTTTTTTTGAGGTATATGAAGATTTGGTTTGAAGTATATCACAAAGATGTTTGAAGATATGAAGAATTAAGATATTACAGATAAAGATTTTTTCTTGAAATAATATATTGTTTTGGGACTTTATTTTGGACTTTGGGTTTTGATGTTTTTTTTGGTTTTGTTGGTTTTGGATTTTATTTGTATACACTAATATTTATTAGAGGGTAAATCAAGTCTACTGTAAGATTTATTTGATGATATGTAAAAACACTATTTCAGTAACTTAAAGCATAAACGATTGTTAAAATTAAAAAAATATATACAACTAACTCATACAGACAATTTACACACACACACATGCCACACCAAGAAGGCAGTGGTACAAAGTACTAGTAAGGTTAAGCAACACTGATCTATAGTATATGAGACAATACATATTTCCAACAGTAAATTACATTGGTGTTTTTTTTATCATTTAGATAACAGACATTTTCAAATAATACACCACGGGTGTCATTATTTGCTAAAGTGTCTGTTGGTAGCAAAATTGGGGTTCCAGAGAATATATCCAGCAGCAGTGACATAAGGTGAAACATCATCCCAGTCCCAGTCTCGGTCTTCTGGGACCCACAATAATATTCTTCCAGGTTCATCAAATACAATATTCGTTGTTCCCTTTTCAGGAGGAAGTGACCAGTGACCATTTACCCAGAAATATATAGGCATATATGGTCACCTATAACCTAAAGATGTGCAGGCATTATGCAGTTTCAAATTATGTGCCCTATGAAAGATCTTTTAATATACTTAATTTTTAGATTGAATGTTCATATTTAGCCCTATGAAAGAGGGAGCAGAGCTAATCATTCCTGAACCTGGCTTATATCAATGGGAAAAAAAGAATGTTTTGGGCTGAAAAAATACAACCTAGATTCTTCACTCAAGAAGGGTTTTCATAAAAACATCTGTAGAAGTCAAAAAGTGCATATAGACATACACTGATTGTTGACTATAACTTGACAGCTTGCGGAAAATCACCATATGTCTGCAGATACGTACCTAACGTATTACCTGATTACCTGGAGCACATACATTGTAACATTGGCTATGGTTGAGATGATCGGAAAATATGGTGGTGATGTTAAAGTTCGCATGTGTGCATGATGCCTATGCAGTACAATAAAGGCATTGAATAGCCTGTAGGGAGTGATGGTTAGGGTGTGATATAAAACAGCATACTAAAGCTTTCCACTTTCACCCTAGCCAAATATTGAGCCTTATCTTTGTCTGAGAATTGGAACATTACACTATTTTGTCAAGCCCACAGATGTCAACAAGTGCCTGTACCATGGGCAAGCATGACTTAACAATTTTAAAGGAACAAATTTTCCACTATTTATGAACATCTTTCAAATATGATGCTGTTATTGTTGTTTTACAATTTACCATGGTCTTCTACACGAGCTGCCATTTTAAAGAATTGCGCCTGATCATTTCTGACCCTAGAAACTCCTCTGGCATGATGCCCCCCTAGTGTTCAGTTCTGTTACCACTTCTTGAACTAACTTAATTGGCTCCTCTGCTCTACCCGCACTCACACCATTAAGTTCTATCACTAGAGAGACAGAGGACCTAGACGAGTCGTGTCTGCAAGCTAAATATAAAGAACATCATCACAAATAACCAGCCATAGGAATCCCATTAAAAGAAAATAACAACAGTTCCTGAAAGTTTAAAAACATAAATATTACATGCACATCAGCATACCAGTGCTGTAGACTAAACTATGATTCCCAAAGTTGGA